TCAGAGACAGTGCGATTGGCACAGGACAGAGCAGAGTTTAAGGCTGTTGTACATAGGGTCGCTATGAGTCGCAAGTGACTCGACGCCACATAACAACAACAAAGTAAAAAAAAAGGTGACCCAACAGAGTGTAGAAATTATCAAACATTATCACTTATATCTCAAGCAAACAAAATCCTGCTGAACAGTATTCTAAAATGACTGAACAATACATTGACAGAGAACTGCCAGGGATACATGCTGGATTTAAAAGAGGACATTATTGCTGGTGTCAGATAGATTTTGGCTGAAAGCAGAAAGTACCAGAGGAATATCCATCTGTGTTTCATTGACTATGCAAAGGCATTTGACTGTGTGGATCACAACAAATTGTGGCTGACCTTGAGGAGATTAGGAATCATAGAACAATTGATTGTGCTCATGTTAAAGCTATACTCAGACCAGGAAGCATTCCTCAGAACAGAGCAAGGAAACACTGCATTGTTCAAAATCATGAAACGAATGCATCAGGGATGTGTCCTTTCTCCATACTTTTTCAATCTATATGAAGAACAGATCATTCAAGAACCTGGAATTTATGAGGAGGAATGTGGCATCAAGATTGGAGGAAGATTCATCAACAACCTACATTATGCAGATAATACAACCTTGTTTGCTGAAACTTAGGACAACAAGAACCTGAAGCACTTGCTGCAAAAGACCAAGGACTGTAGTCTTCAATATGGTTTGAAGCTCAACATCAAGAAGACAAAGATTCTCACTACTAAGCCAACTGACAACACCAAGATGGATGGAGAAGAGATTGAGGTTGTTAACAATTACAGCTTGCTTGGGATCAAAATCAACACTCCTGACATCAGCAGTTCAAAATCAAAAGATTAATTGCACTGGGAATATCTGCTGTCAGAGACCTCTTCAGAGTACTGAAAAGCAACAATGTCAGTCTAGAGACTAAGAGAGTTGGACAATGACAAAGGATAACAGAAGAAGAATTGATGCCTTCAAATTGTTCTGCTGGGGAAGAGTCTTGAACATACCATGAATGACCAAGATAACAAGCCTGTTTTAGAGAGGGGGAAACCAAATTTCTCCTTGAAGGCTAGGATTTTGAAGATCTGTCTCACATATGTTGGGCACATGGCCAGAAGGGACCAGTTCTTGGAGAAGGATATCATGCTCAGAAGGGTGAAGAGACAGTGCAGCAGAGGAAGACCCCAGATGAGATTGACTGATATATTTACTGGGGTAATTAGAGAGTTGGTGTGTCAGAGTCAGTGAGACTGACTCAGGACAGGGCAGGCTTCAGAAATTTGTACAAGGGTGGTGATAAGTTTCAGGCAACTTGACGGCACATAACTACAACAACAACGTCATCCACTGTGGTACCTCTCTTCGAGCAGCACTGGGTAACTGCCAACAAATTGGTCCTGGAAAGAGTGCAGCCTGAGGTCTTATTAGAAGCACGGATTGTGAGACTTTCTCTCACATTCTTTGTGCAAGGTGTCCAATGGGTCCACTCTGTGGAAAAAGACATGATGCTTGGCGAAGGAGATGGTCCATGAGAGAAAGGAGGACTCTCAATGAGGCAGACCGACAGTGGCTGAACCAATGGACTTACGCGGAGCACAGATTGTGAGAATGGCACAGGATTTGGCAAGATTTCCTTCTCTTTTACAAAGAGTCACTATGAATTGAAAGCATGTAACAATAACAATAGCAAATCAAAGAAGACAAAGTCCATTGTCATTAAAGTAATTCTATTCACAAAGACCCTGCAGCACAGAGGAGGCCCTATGGATTTGGAAATCCCATAGAATTTCCAAAGCTGAAATATTTCAAGAAGTGGAGTGCCATAGCCTTTGCCTATGGAGTAAATGATGGATCCAAAACATTGACTTTTTTATTAGTAGCTGAGTACTCCGATCACTGCACCACCATGGCTCCTGAAGTCAGGCTGGAGTTCATTTGACTGTAGAGTCTCTTCACTGACATTTTGTGGTCATCTTACTCTACAGTATATGGGATGCCCTCAAGGCTTACAACTTTGTGAGTGACATGACTGTCCATTTGATTCCAATTCATAGTGACCCTATAGGATGGAGTAGAACTGCCCCATAAGGCTTCCAAAGAAAGATGAGCCATCTCCTGTTATGTGATTTACTGCCTCTGAAAACCCGCTGGAGGGTCAGCTATGGGTGAGCTCTGACTCAATGGCACCCAACAGCAACAAGCTTTAGAGAAGCAGATTGCTACCTCTTTCTTCTATCAAATAGCTGCTAGATTGAAGTGCCAACTTATCCATTAGCCACTGAGCTCTTAACCTCTGTGCCAGCAAAGATTGCTGGGTCACATTTTTGTTATTTTTAAGTATGGTTGAGTTGGAACCTACCCATAGTTGACCCTCCAGTGGGTTTTCATAATCAGTAAATTGCAGGAGAGGACACAGTCCATTCTTCTCCCACAGAGTGGTTGGTGGGTTCAAACTGTGTGCCTCTGGCTGGGATGGTAGTGTAACTTACTACCACTAAGTCACCAGAGTTCCCTACGTCCCCCAAAGTTAGCTATTCCTATCGCATTCTTCACTTTTCCAAAGTGGCATTCTTGAATACACTTGATGTTTTATACAGGGAAAGGGAGAAAAGAAGAAGGGGTAAGAAGGGTATAAACATGGGCTTACATCCAGTTTTATCTTCATAAAAAGGCACTGCTGATGTTGTTGTTAAGTGCCATCGAGTCACAGTTGACTCATAGCGACCCTATGAAGGAGAGTCCTTGACGCTTGGGTGCCTTTCATCCTCTCTCCAGGGTCACAGGGTTTCCAGAGGCAAGCTATTACGGAAGTGGACGCCACTCCTCCTTCCAAGCTAAAAAGCTACTAGAGAGGTTAATATGCAAAGATTTTTCTTTCCAAACACTTCTCCACTTCCCACTTCATTTCATAATGATTTCAATAACTCAGACACAGAATATTTTGGGAACAGAGCTTTTCTATTGCTCTCAATTTTACTAAGCTGGTCTGAAAGATGTTCACTGTCTAGAGAACATAGTATGTTTCTGCAGCTCACCCAACTACTCCACAGAGATAGTTGGTTACCACCAAAGAAGAGGGCTGAACTTACAGAGAGCTGTTCTAAAGACGGAAGCTAAGTCAACTGAAGAAACTGTAAAATGATTTTTAAGGACTTGTAACATTTAAATGGAGGAATTACACTGCTTACCCAAAGGTATGAGGCTTGAATCCAACAACTATTCCATGGGAGGAAGATGGACAATCTCCTCCTGTGTCGGTTTAACCGCCTTGAAAACCCTTTGAAAGTCAACTATGAGTCAGTTCTGACTTGAAAGTATTCAGCAACACCCTTTTCTATAAGAAGATTTGGTGTCTAGTGGGAAAGGAGTTGCACTATGAACCCTAGTGTAGGCGGTTGGAATTTACCAGCTGCACTGTGGAAAGATGGCCAGTCTCCTCCTAGACAATTCACAGCCCCTGAAACCTGCTGGCGGGTCAGCTCAGAGTCAGTTCAAAGTCAACAGCAGCGAGTGAGTGATTTGCCCCCCACCCCCCCTACACATATGCCTACGCAGAGAGAATACAAATATCCAAGAAGGGAAAAAACAACAATAGAAAATAATCACTTACACCGTCCATTAAATCAGAGAAACAGTTTTAGCATATCATATCTTTTTCTAATATTGCATTATTTTAGTGTTTGATATGGTAAAAAAATCTTTATGATCAAAATAGCGTATTGATTTGAAAATTTGTGGAGGCACCATTTCAGTTTTCACTTTACTGCAGATTGCGTTGATTCAGTTTTAGATGCTGCTCGAGACTTTTCAGCCACATCTATGCTAATTTTGTCTATGTCTTTTAGGAGCGTTTGACTATAATTTCAGGCCTGCTGAGGGCGTATAAGGGGATTCTGATTGGGCAGGCTTTGGCTCAGATATGAAAAGTTGAAGAGCTAGAAATGCATTTGAGGGTCACTGACCCTGTCTTTTTAGAACTCTGAAAAGGATTTCAGCTGATAATGACACAGTTGGCACCTTTGACTGGATATGCTAGACGAGTCTTCCTGCTTATGACGGTAGCATCACTTTTGCCACATTGTAAACCCTGACGGCTGGGACTTTGCTCCCACAGAGATGGTCACAGGAGTGAAGGCGGAGACAAGCTCCGTGAGGCAGCACAGCCGTGTGTCCCACCCCACGGGGAGATTTATCCATGTACCCACCTGTTCGACAGTGGTGTTCTCTCCATGCATCTGATCTGAATTGTGCTGAGTTCCTGCACGCTGCCTCGGTGGCTCCCTGATACATTGGCATTTGGGATGCGGAAAGTTTTTTTGTGTCGTCGTGAACAGCAAGTGCTGGTGACACCTTGTTGTGATGAGAGAGAAGGGCTGTGACTGGACGGGCGATTGACAGTTGCAACTTCCATGCAGCTTTCTTCAAAGACTTGCTCATCCACGAACTCGTGATTCTGTTCCACATTTTCGCCAATGTGTAGAGAAAGCACAGAAACATATTTTTATTTCACTAAGAGGACATACATTGCTTTGCTTTAAACATTCAACTTGAAATATGTAGCTTTACTAAATATTCAGTAATACTTCAGCTATTATTTCTTATGCAATAGATATCAATAATAGTTTCCACAAAGGTTAGACTCTCAAAGGCATGAATATTTTTTTTTCTTTTTGCCTGCGATCATCTGTATTCAGTCAGACTAGGAGATGGATACGCCCAGACTGATTTAGCATGCACTGACAGACTGACTTAATCTTGAAATGCTATTTGCTAATTTAAACGTAAAATTTAATACTGATAAACTAAAGGGACCCTTAAAACATTAAAAACAAATTCAACTATTACCTATAGCACAGTCGTAAACTCACAGTGACTTTATATTTTTAAGCAGATTGATGCTATGGGAGAGAGACAAAGATAACAGACTGCCCCAAGTCAGATGCTTTGTTACATATTAGTAAATATTGTCACATGGAGTTGAAATTTTTTCTTTATTAGAATCTAAGCTACTGTATATACTTCTCATTTCCTTAAATTCCCCTCTAAAATCTCCAACACATAAAAAGATATAATTTAGTAGTTAAACAAATTGGACACATTCATGTGCAAAATGTAGCACTTGATCTTTGACCCAGAAGGATTTAGCATGGAAATTCTGTAACCTGAAAAATCTTATCTTTGAAATACACTAGTAGTTCTCATTATCGTTCAAGCTCCCTCCACCCTACCTTCTAGAAACAGTGATTCCTATCATTTCATATCTATTATTATGCAGAACCAAGGTACACATTTTACTTTAAAAACATTTAATGAGGAATTGTCTGCTAAAATACCAAAGGAAGAACTTCACCTCAGAAACACAAGAGAAAACTTTCCTTTTGTAGGATCTGAATTTCCAGAGAATAATTTGCATTCCTATTTTTCCTTTGTGTGGGTGGGAATAGTCTAATAATGGAAGGCTTTGCACATACCGAATTCCTCTTAACCACCTCTCATCCTAAAATATTAATAAAACAATTGAAGCAATTCACCTACTAATAGAAAATAGATTGCTTACTTAGACATTTTGTTGTTTCTTTGCTGAGACAAGCAGTTTGAAATAAGTGAAATTTAACATGCTACTGTTTAAAGTTCAAATAATAATAAAATAATCAGAAAGGGTAGAATATCGTATTAAGTAGTAAGTCTCAGAGAAGATATATAATCACAAAGATCCATAATCTGTTGGACTTCCTTTTTCTTTATAGTGTACTTTTCACACACGTAGCAAAAGACATAAGGCATGAGAGTATAATTTCCCCTACCAGGAATCAGAAGTGAAGTCATTGCATTGCCAATTACCATAATACATTGCATGTCGCTTGATTTAAATGATGGTAATTTATGTTAAACCATAATCAACACCCGTAGAAGCAGCAGCCAAGCAATCAAAGGCTCTGTTGCATTGGGCAAATCTGTTACCTAAGACGCCTTCAAAATTCTAAAGAGCAACAATATCAGCTTAAAGACTAAGGGGCTTCTGACTCAAGCCTTTGTATTTTTTAAAGTGCTTCAAATGCAGATGAAAGTTGGACAAGGAGTAAAAAAGATAGAAAAATTAATGCCTTTGAATTGTGGTATTGGTGAAGGATATTGCATTGCACGACTTTCCTAAAGAACTAACAAAATCTACTTTGGAAGCAGTAAGGCCAGGGAGCTCCACAAAGCAAGGATGACGAGCCAAGTCTTATACACTTAGGTACAATTCCAGGAGGAACCAATCCCTGGAGAAGGACATCGTGCTTGGAAAAGCAGATCATCGGCAGAAGAGAGGAAGATCCGTGATAAGACGAATTGACACAGTGAGTTCAATAACAGGTGGAGATTGTGAAGATGGCCCAGGATTAGATTGGCTTTCCTTCTGTTTCTTGTGCACTGGGTTACTATGAGTCTGAACCAACTCAATGACACTTAGCAACAACAATCTACATCAAGTGTTTGCTATTATTAACTTTACATGATAAACTAGTGGAAAAAGAAAAGTAAATGATAAAGACAAATTGAGATAACTCTATCCCATGATTGTTGTTGCAGTTAAGTGCCATCAAGTTGTAGATGACTCATAGCGACCCTATGAGTGAAAGACCTGAACACTTGTATAAGTTTGATCATTTCTTCATGTTCATAGAGTTTCCGGAGGGGATGCCACTCCATTTCATTTTAAGGATTTAAACATTAAATTATAAACATCTTAATAACTTTATTGAAAACTGAAAACAACAAGTAGAAAACTACTGCTGCTTAATGTTCTTTAAAAAAAATCTCCTTTTATAATGAAATAAAGTCCATTTTTTTTTCATACCTTTTGAGACTTTTAGGCTTTAACACCTGCCTTCACTTTTGCCTTTCCTTCTGGCATGCTCGTTTCTCCTCCTGGTCAACCACACGTTCATTCATAGCCTCCTAGATCATGTTCTGGACTTCCTGAGGTATTTCTACTACCTGAGCCCCTCTAATGCATTGACTGACGAACTCCTGGTCCCTCAGCCTGTGGTTCTCCTTAGGGATTGAATGACACCTCTTCCTTATCCCTCCAAATATAATGAAGTGCTAACCTTTGTAATCTGTGAACCTGACAGTGTTTGGAAAGAGAGTATTTATATATTTATTATATGACATCATATCATATCATATATGATATATTTATTAAAGCATATTTATTATATTTATTATCTTTATAATATAATATTCATTATATTATATTATATAATTATAATTTATATTTTTTTCTATTATAAATAGAGCCTTTGAACCGTGGTGCTGGAGAAGATGATTGAGGGTAGCTTGGACTATTAGGAAAACAAACAGATTCATCCTGGAAAGGGTTAAACTGGGCGGCTCCCTGGAGGCAAGTCTTCTGAGGCTCCGTCTAACATACTTTGGACATGTTGCAAGGAGGGAACAGTCCTTGGAGAGGGACATCATGCTTGGGAGGGTGGAGGGACAGTGCAGGAGGGCAAAATCTTCTATGAGGTGGATTGATTCAGTGACTGGGGTAATCGGGATGGGTGTGTCAGAGGCAGTGCGATTGGCACAGCACAGAGCAGAATTTAGGGCTATTGTACATAGGGTCGCTATGAGTCGCAAGTGACTCGATGGCAACATAACAACAACAACATGTCATGAGTTAAACTGAAATGAGGTTGTGGGAGAATAAGGTAGATACTAATCCAAATACAGTCTGTGTAGTTTCTTATAACAGAGGGAGACACACACAGAGAAAGGAGGATTTTCATTTAAAATGGGTTTACCTGTAAAGGAAAGCCTAGGATTGATGGTGAGTTTCCCCCCTGACTTGGAGGGAGCTGGGCAGGTTCTACATGTTGAATGAAAGTTGAGCCTCTATAACTGTGGACACTAGAAATTCCTATTCTATTAAATCAACTTTTTACTCTGCGGCCCTCAGGCCTGGTTTTAATTGTTTTTCATCAAACATTCTTCTACGTGGTATAGCACTGGTCCGTCCATTTGCTGTACAGAGGTAACTCGTGGTTGTTGTGATGCTTAACACTGTGACACTGACATGTAAAATGCAATAATGGTTCCCCATGGAAAACTGTTTGGTGGAGCTCCCCAATTAAAACAAGCTTGGAAGCAGGAGTGGCATCTACTTCCGAAATAGCTTGCTTCCAGAAACTCTATGAATGTGGAGAAACAAGGAAAGTTATACAAATGTTCAGGTCTTTTATTCATAGGGTCGCTATGAGTCATCTATGACTTGATGGCACTTTACAACAACTAAATCACACAGGTTAGACTCTTTTGTTAGGCAGCCCTAGGAAGTGAACAAAGCCCTCAACTGAAGTTGTTCCAGCAAGCCTGTGGCCCCATCATTGTTTCTGGTACACACTGCCTTTCTCTAATAGATCAATCTTGATTTATCCCAAATGTGGGAACACCACGCATTACTTCATGTGTATCTTGGGCTAGCTCACTGTCCATCACATTGTACATTGTTACTGCTGTTAGATGCCTCTGAGTGAGCATCTTCCCATAGTGAGCCTCTACACAATACGACAAAACCTGACCTCACCCTGGACCATTCTCAGTCCCCGCTGGGCGTCAGCCCAGTGTCGCAGACACTGTTCAATCTATCTCACGGAGAATCTTCCTCTCTTTTCACTGACCCCCTGGTTTTCTCAGCATTCTTTTTTTTTTTTTTTTCTCCAGGAACTGGCTATTTCTGATAACATGTTTGGTAAGTAATGCATATTTTGTTGATAACTGTTATTCAATGAATAAATAGGTGGACAATATATTGGAATTAAGAATCCAAATATGGTAAATGAGTTGACTGATTGAAATAAGGTGAAAATCTGTTCTGCTCTGCAGTCCTAAACTGCAGTCTCTACCAACAAGCGAGCTGAGGGAGGGATGGCTGAGGGGTGGATGCCCTTGTCACTCAGAGAGTTACACTGAGAACTGAGAAGTGAAGGGATGCTGACTCAGCCTGCTTCCTTCGGGGGCGGACAACAGTAATTATGTGGATTCTTTTTCTCATTATAATAGTTTTGTTACCCCCATCTACTACACTTGTAAAAGAAATGTTTATACTCAATTATTTTCTGTTTCTGTTGTTGTTATGGCTGTTAGTATTCTCTTTATCCAGGGATCAGTGTCATTTGAACTGTGTGTGTGTGTGTGTGTGTGTGTGTGTGTGTGTGTGTATCTTCATTGCTATTTAATCAGCATTTTAAGTATCAGGGGGTAAGGAGGGATATTTTCTAAGACTTACGGCCAGCTCCTGGAAGACAATTTCCATCAGTATTTAATGTCTGTCTTAGACATTTGCTTAGTAAAGAAAACCAGTAAGGATAATAATAACATGCCAAGTAAGTATCTATTAATGCCTTCTGAGTTGAAATGGCACTGGGGTCTTTCAAAGTCATTTAAAATCCTTTTTTAAAAATTCTTGTTAATATGAGTAGGTTTTCCTAGGGGCGCAGACAGTAAGATCATGCAGGGAAGCATTCAGCAGTCACAAAAGCAAATGAGGTGACTGCCTGAGCGCAGGACAGGCGCTGGGCGGGCGGGCAGGCTCCTTACCGTGGTTTTCTCCAGGCAGTGGAGCAGGTGGTGGTGCTGGGTTTCAAAGCTCGAGCCGGATTTGCTCACAAAGGCCTGCTCATCCTCGGAGGACTGTTAACACAGAGAAGACAGAGGTGCTTTCTATTTTATTGTGCAAACAATGACAGCCTCAGCTATCCATTTCCCCAGGAGAGATCTGGCCTATTTTCTGGGATTAAATGGCAGTATTTTTTTTTAACCCAAAAAAGAATAAATATGCAGTTGCTTTTATATTTAAATTCAGTATTTACATTTTGGTCAAGTTAGTGGTCTGGTCTTTTAGATATGCCTCTCTGGACTGAAAATTTAAATTGCTTTTACACTCAACTACCTTTGTAAGCCTGGGAGCCATTGTTTTTGGATCATAAAATGTAACCTAATACTTGGATAATCCTGGGAACAAGTACATCAACGCTTCTTTGGAAGTAGAGATAATTGCAGTTCTAAATATTAAAAGCAAATTTGTTTTGTTTAAAGCAAAACTGAACGCCTCAAATTGTATTTGATACCATGTGGCTGGGAAGGAGAAAGATGGGCAATCTCTTCCTATGTAATTTACAACCTCTGAAAACCCTCTGGAAGGTCAGCTATGAGTCAGTTCTGACTCGATGGCAATGAGTTTAAGTTCAAGTTGATCTTTCTAGCAGCAAGTGGAGTTGAAAAATAAAGCAAGGCATCATGTCCTGCCCCAAAGAACATTAGGGACATGAATATTTTCATAATAAAACAAATGAGGCATTTGGGCTTTTGAGAATGTGTTGGCTTTCCCCATGTGAACATGAGTCAGTGCAGAACTATCTACTGAATCATGAGTGGAAACCAGGATTCCCTGCCAATATCCTAGAGTTTGGGGACAATCCTTCCAGAGCCAATGGTGAGATGCAGGATGGTGAACACATAGTGTGTTTGGCAGCTCACTGAGAGGTTGCTGACTGAAGCCCAACGCAAAGATGCCTTGGAAGAAAGAGTTGGTGATCTCTCCTCAAAACTCAGTCATGGGCGACTCTGTGGCACACACAGGGTCACGAGGAATGTGAACTGAGTGGAGGACAGGAGGGTCAGAGCCCAGTGGGATGCACGGGATTAACTAATAAAACGTGACCCTCTGTTTCAGTAGCCATTTTCATAATTACTCACCATAAAAATATGCACTTAAGCAGCATTAAATCAATACCATCTAACTGTATTCATTGCACGTGCACAAACACGAAGGCCTTGACTGTACCTGGAGCTGATTGCTCAGTAAGCCGTTCCGTTTGCTCTGCATGTAAGCGTTTGCACTTCCACTTTTGGCTGCCCGGATCCTGGCGAGTCTGGCTTTCTATGGAAGAGGCAGAACGAAGGTCCCGTTAGTTCCTGTGGATTGTGTTTATTAAAACAGCAAATGCATTCTTGAGTAAGCCCGACTGCTAGCATGCACACTTCTAACACTTGACTAGGTCTTCACATGGAACTACTGGAAAGTAATTGTTCACTCTCTTGAGGGACTTACAGATTCAGAAAAATAGAGGAAGACTCGCAATGAGATGGACTGCAGCAATAATTGATTTGAGCATGGGGCAGACTGTGAGGATGGTACAGTATAGGGCAGGGTCTTCATCTGTTGTTCATAGAATCAATATGAGTCAACTCAATGTACCCAATAACAACAGCAATACCAAATTTAATGTTGTTGTGGTTGTTATGTGCCGTCAAGTTGCTTGCTACTCATAGCGACCCTATGTACAACAGGCCTAAATTCTGCTCTGTCCTGTGCCAATCACACTGTCTCTGACTCTCCCATCCCGATTATCCCAATCACTGAATCAATCCACTTCATGGAGGGCCTTCCCCTTCTGCGCTGTCCCTCCACCCTCCCAAGCATGATGTCTCTCTCCAAGGACCTGTCCCTCCTTGCAACATGTCCAAAGTATGTTAGACGGAGCCTTAGAATCTTTGCCTCCAAAGAGCAGCCAGTTTGACCCTTTCCAGGACCTATCCATAAATCTAACTCCATTTGAACTATATTATACATTTAACATTGTGGTAAGTCTTTGTGGTAAAATCCAGCTATTTCATTATTGCCTTTACCAATCACGTTAAGAGGCAAATCTTGATATTACTCGTATACTTACGTATTACTTACGTATCCCAGTATGAGCACCTTAATGAAGAACCTTAACTCAGTAAAGTACTTGCCAACTCTCCCCTTTAATTTAATCTTAATTTGAATATTCTCTTTAAAATGAGTTCCAGGGATCAATTGTCTATTTAAAAGGAACTATTGTTCAGCTGTTTCTGCACCTTCTTGGGTAAAACTTTGTAATTATCTTGTAAAATTAGACAATGTGCTCTACATGACAAACAATTTGGTACTTTCTAAAAATCCCAATTTTAAAAAATTTTGACTGTGAATCCAAGTCCAGAGAAGTTTTGTAGCACAGTGGTTGAAACAGATGGATTATTGAAAGGTTCGTAGCTCAAACTCATCGGCCTCTTGGGGGGCAGCAAGAGAAAGATACAGTCTCCACCTCACAAAATGTCCAGTCTTGGAAACACTGGTTCTCTGCTCTGTCTCACCAGGTTCTTCTGAGTCAGAATCTACTGGACTATCATGGGGTTGACGGTATACGTGTGCTCATCTGATTGCTATTTCACAGTGACATTTGTTGAAATAAGTTCAGCAAACTTTTCCAGAGAGACTTAAGGCATTTTTTAATGGAATTTTGCATATAAAGAGTGATTTTCAACTGAGAAGATTTAGAGCAGTTACACCCGTTGTTCATAGGTGCTATGCTTTTAGAGAGGAAATTCACAGGTTTGGTACATTCTCAGTTTTCCACTCTACTTTTTCTAACTGTTGTTGCATAGCTGCTTTGGACTGTCATGGAAAGAAGTAATTGCAATGGCTTAGATAAAATATACCCGATAAACTCTTCTTTTTGCTCCCACTGTAAACAAATCAGATAATTAACCAATTCTTGTGACTAGCCATAGAATGTTCTTAAATAATATTAAAAATTAAAATAGACTTATTTAAAAGTGAATTCTGGAAAACCATGCTAAAATTTTAATAATCAAAGGTCCATTGAAGGCAAGTCTTTCTTGGCCCTGGAATTGCTGCCTTCTATGCCTCAGGGATGGCCTACCGGTAGATAGTTATGTGGTTACATCAAAAGGCTGTGTCTCTCTGGTGGTTGAATCCCCCACGAGCTCTGCAGGAGAAAGGTGGGACATCTCAAGTGCTATTTTACAGCATTGCAAACTCAGTGGAGGGGCAGCTGTGAGTCAGTTTCACCTCAGTGGCAGTGAGAAGGAGAGAGAGAGAGCGGTACCTCAGAGCCTTGTGAATATTTACAGGCAATTCTGTCAGAATAGTCAAAGGCATATTGAATGAAGTCGATGTAAACAAGCACCTTCGTGTTTATATGCACTTACATTCTTATGTAGAACATCCTCACATGCTTCTGTATGTATCTGATTTTATGTAATATGTCTTAGAACTCCTTGTACATTTACATGTATATACCTACCTCACTCGGTTATAGATGTATAATTCACTAACAGTTAAGACATACTAGAAAGGCATCTTTTGCTACTATAAACAATACAGTCTTTTTTGTGGAGGTAAAAGTGTGTCTGTCTGTCCATCTCTCTGTGTATGTGTTTGTGTGTGTGTGTGAGAGAGAGAGAGAGAGAAGGAGGGAAGGCAGGGAGAGGGAGAAAGAAAAGAGAGGGAGAGAGAAGATAATTTCTAGTTTTTATCATATTTTCCTTCACCCAAGATGCCTTTCCACCCACAAATTCTAAGCCTTTAAAATAGCATGAGGATACAGTTTGGCTTACATCATGCCTCGTCTCTTCTAACTTCTTCCCTAAATTCTACCTGTTTGCTAATTGTAGGTTAAAATGATCTTTGGTTCAAACAGCCCATCTGTGAGTGATGGAGAAAACCCAGGCGACTGTTACTTTTTGGTGGTGACACTAATTGAAATCAATCCTCCAATACTGACAGCGTACCAGCAAATTAAGTTAGAAACTTTTTAGTGTCAAAGGTTGTGCTTCAAAGTGAATAAACCAAGCCAGACTTAGTTGGGAGAATATTGCTCACACACTTCTGCACTTGGTTGATTTTATTTAACACATCTTAGAACACAAGAGTGAATAACAAGAACATTTCGAAATGACTTAGACTTGACCTGCTAAATCAGAAATAAGCAATTTACATGTGCATCTGGTCCCCAGAAGGGAGTTACTATAAAATTTCATTCCTGAAGTTTGATTTCTTAGAACATTCATAGCCTTTCTTTTTTGCTGTTTTTTTTCACTTAATCTCTTGTCTCACCTCCCCTCTCCTCTTTCTCTATACTCTTTTTGTTCTAAATTACTGTACATAATAGGAGCTCTGGTGGTTTAGTGGGTAAGGAGATGTGCTGCCAACCCAAAGACACATGGTTCAAATTCACCAGGTGCTCCATTGGAGAAAGATGGGCCATTCCCTCCCCACCCCCCACCCCCTGCCTTGAAATTTGTAGACTCTGAAAACCCATAAGCTCTGAGTCAGTTCTGACTTGATGGCACATATCAGAAACAACAGCTGGAATTACATTGCCCAAATTCTTGTGGTATAGTCAATAGTATATTGTGTTGCTAACTAAACGGCTGCTGAAAAACACTTTAGGTCAGCAGCATGGGGCTGGAAACCATTTTGAAAATCATCTACAGGAGCGAGGTTCGACAGAAGCCTTATGGCTGGGATTGGTGAGCTTAGGGTAGAATGTTGATTCACTAAGGGGAGTGAGACGATGTGATAAGGCCTTCTATTTAAAAATCCACAAGGGCCCCAGGGCCTCAGGTTTAAATTATTTTTTGTCAAACATTCTTCTATGTGGGATAGCACTGGTCTGTGCATTGCTGTATAGAGGTAACTTGTGGTTGCTCTGATGCTAAACACTGTGACACTGATGTGTCAGATGGGACAATGGTTACCCATGATGGATAGTGTTTAGTGGAGCTTTCTGATTAAAACAAGCTTGGAAGCAGGAATAGCATCCACTTGTGAAATGGCTTGTCTCCAGAAACTCTATGAACAATGCTCAGGTCTTTCATTCATAGGGTCCTATGAGTGGTCTATAACTCGATGGCACTTAACAACAACAACAACAACCACAACAACAACTAAAAGGCTGATTATATCAGATGGAGAAAGATTGATAGTTTCCTCAGGTTAAGATTTATAGCTTCAGAATAATGGCAGAGGGTTGATAAGAGTCAGAGTTGATTCAATCACAGCGAGTTTGGGCAAAGCCATACTTGAAGCCTGACGGCACAGTGGTGAAGAGTTTAGCAGCTCAAACCGATCAGTTACTTTATGGGAGAAAAGATGAGACAGTCAGATTCCATAAAGATTTGCAATTTAGAAAACTCTATTGAGTCCGTTCTACCTTGACATGCAGGGTTCCTATAAGTCAAGTTGTATCAAGTACGAAATAAGTTTAGTTTTCAGTTTAAACTATGGTTACCCTCTCAACTATGCCATTGTATTCTCTCATTGTACAACCTTTTAACAGCTATTAGAAAACACTGATTCCATCTATTAATGACACATTTTGATGTTGTTGTTATATGCTGTCAAGTCACCTGTGACTCATAATGACGCTATGTACAACAGCTCTGAAACCTGCTATACCATGAGCCAACCTTATTGTCTCTGACACACCTGACGCTATTACCCCAGCACCCCACCCATCCACAGCATAATGTCCCTCTCCAAGGACTGGTCCCTTCTTGCAACATGACCAAAGTATGTCAGATGAAGCTTCAGAATCCTTGCCTCCAAGGAGCAGCCTGTTTTCACCCTCTCCAGGATGAACCTGTTTGTTTTCTTAGCAGTCCCTGGTATATTCAATTCTCTTCTCCAGCACCACAGCTCAAAGGCATCAAGTCTCCTTCTGTCATCCCTCATCATTGTCCACACACATAAGTTAAAAATACTGTCAGATGAGGAAAATGATGTGCATTTCTCACAATGGGGAGCCAACAGTCATTCCTAAAGAAGTAATTTTAAACTTGGGAAAAAAGTAACATTTGTTTTAGAAACGGAAGACAAGCCAGTCCATGTACAGTGTTAGAAAAAGAATCTGTCACTTAAATCTCAATCCTGACTTGTCATTTATGTTCCTATAACACTGTATGAGTTAATTAGTTTAATTAGCCTTATGGAGCACCACACCAAACGTCTGTTGAATGCTATCGTTTGTGATCTGTGATTAAACTTTTGGTAGCTGTGCTTACAGCAGGTAGTTAGTTGAGGGAAATTATTTCACGATGATAGTTTAGAAA